CACTGAGCCCTGTAAATAAGCAGCCATGAGGTGGGAAGGACCCGCTTCTGGTCCTCTGCCCTTTCCCGGTTCCCCTCCTAGCAGCTGGGGTCGCAGGTCACATGCAGGCCACTTGAGGCTCCAGTGCCAAAACCTCCTGGTTTGCAGAGCTGGCAGTTGCTCGGGGCAAGCTGCGAGCAAACAGCTGTGACTCCAGTCCCCAAAGCTCCCCCTTACCTGTGTCAACACTTTTATTTTTAAAGCAGCACAGCCAAGGTGGGGGCCGTGAGTGGGCAACGGGGAGGGAGGGAGCCGGGGCCCTTATCAGCTCCAGGGTCCTTGCATATGTAACGCTGTCATATAATTAACAGTGAAGATCATTTACATTGTCGCTGAGCTAATTTTCATAATGTTTTCTTTATTATCAGAGGAAGAAATTAACCCAAGAATTTATTTACATAGCAGCCTCAAACAGTAACAGCTTGCTAATTGCCTGTTAGGTGATTAATAAGCTTACAGCAGATGCTAATGCGTCGTGGGTTCCCGTTTCAAAGGTGCTCTTGCTGCACGCTTGTGTTTTTGGCAGCTTAATTAGTGCAATAATTATGTACTTGTTGCTCCTTCTTTCGAGCAAATACTGTCAAATGCTTAAAAGATTAAAGTGAATTATATCCTGAGAACTCACAGTGCTTGAGGATGCCCGTTCTTGCTAACTTCTCTGCTAGAGCGAAAATAAACAAGAACAAAGAAGAGGGGTTGACTTGTCAAAGGGAACAGTGAAACCTAGACCCCCCGCTGGGTTGCAGTCCTGGCTTTGCCGCCTCACGAACGTACATACCTGAAACACTGCCTCAGTTTCCCCTTTATCACAGGAGGATCATATCATTGGCATGTGAAAGTGGGGAGATGGAACAAGAATCAGAGAGTTGGGTGATACACAAGTGACATGCAACGTGGGTCATTTAGGTCTTGACTCCAAGTAACTGTAGAAAGCCATCTTTGCAACTGTCCGAGAAATCCGATCCAGGGTGGGGGATACAGCTCAGCGGCATAAGCTACTGCCTGGCAAGCACAAGGTCCTGAGTTCAATTCCCAGTACCAAAAAAAAAAGATTGCATGCCTGTAATCCCAGCACTCAGGAGACTGAGGCAAGAGGATTGTTGTGAGTTCAAGACCAGCCTGGACTACAAAGTGAGCTCAACGCCAACTTGAACTGCATAGCGAGACCCTGTCTCAAAAGGACACACACAAAAAAGAAATCCGACCTCAGGTTGTGCAGCAGTTGATGTCCAGAAGTCATTGCTGATTCCGTTAGGGGCAATAACGGCATGATGGTGATGGAAGAGAAAAATGGGCTTCACTGTGAGATTCACATACTGAAGAGCTGAGAGTTGGAATGATAGGACACTTCTGATCTGGTGTAGAAATTTCCAGCCTCCTCCTGAAAACAGATGACTTGCAAAATGTGGATCAATGTTGAGGCTGGGTGATGGGTACGTAGGAGAACAGTGTGTCTAGTTTCTCCATTTGTTTTTTCTTTTCTTTTCTTTTTTTTTTTTTTTTTTTTTTGTTCTGGGAATCAAACTCAGGACCTTGCACTTGCAAGGCAGGCACCGTGCCACTGAGCTGTATCCCTGGCCCTGTTTTGCTTTTTTTAATTAATGAAGTTCATTGGTACATATTTCAGATATACATAATGATCACATTCATCACAGGGAATTTGTACATGTACGTGATATACCTTGCTGCTTTTTTTTTCATTCCCTTGCCCTCTCTTCAACCCCTCTTCCCCTCCTTATTTACAAAAGCTTTGCTTCCATTTTATCTTTGTTGTATCATTTTTTTCTTTTCTCTTCCTTCACATCCCCCTCCCGCTTCCTAGTGCTCCTTTCTCTTGAACAATTTTTTCCTATTTCTTCCACTTTTGTATGTACTTGAAAATGTGCATGGAAAAACTGGACTGTAGAAAGGAAAGGACAGAAATTCTACCAAGACCTGAGCCTGAGAATCCAGCTGTCTCTGGTTAAGTTCAGCTCTACACTGTACTAGCTGTGTGGCTTTGGAGGAGGACCCAAAACTTTTCCGTGCCTCAGTTTCCTCTCAATGCCATCTCGCTGCTTCCAGGGCCATCTATGCCTGTGCCTTGCCCATAGATCTGGAGATCTGGAGATGAGCTGCTGCCGTGGGTTTTTTGTTACCTGAGTGTCGCTGTTGGGCATGGAATTGGCCTATAACATTGGTGAAGCCTAAGGCAGAGCCGGGTCCAGCTAGAGAGTGAAAGGTTTCTGGGACAAGGGGTTTTGGGGGCTGGAACTGAGAAAGTACTGCCCAAGTTGGGATGAGCCTGTCGCTCTGCAATGGTGACTCAATGCCCAGCACCTTGGCCCAGCCAGCTCAGGCGGTGGGAGTCACACCTGGAAGATAACTGGTTAACATTTAAATGAACGACAGAGACCATAAGCGTATTCATTAGACTTCTAACTTCATGGCATCCATGTCCCTGTCTTTTGATAACAACTCCCCAATTTCCTTTGGAGAATCTACCCCTGTGTCTCTCTTATCCTTGTGTTCTTAGCAGAGCTCCCTCCTGGCTGTAGGGTAAGAGCAGATCTGTGCCCCAAGAACGTGCACTCAGGTTAATTCTTGGGACCTTCGCAAGAAGCATTAAGAAACAGCAAGACTTTTTTTTCTGCTGGACCACAACTACTTGTCTTCTTGCCACCTTGTGGAAAGAACCTCTGAAGATGGAGCTAGGAGAAAAAGCAATGGAGAAAGCACTGATTAATGCCCCTGGATCCAGCCATACCTGAGATCAACTCCCTCTGAGCTTATAAATTACATGAGGCTAATAAATCCCTGTACATGTGTACATCATCTATTTCAGGGTGGGATTTTCTGACACATAATAAAAATTTTCCTCTTTGATGCAAAATGCTGCAGGAATCTTGAGGCAGGTCATCCTTTCTGGGATAAGGAAGCTTTGCAGATGACCAGAGATGTGACAGGGTATTAGCAAAAGTGTGCTGCTAGGAGGCCGCAGTGGAGACCAGCTGGTACCCAGGAGAAGCCTCTAGAGGAGTGGAGCCCATCTTGCCATCCCAAGAGGGAAAGCACTTTGCCACCCACGGTCACCTTTCCCAGAAGAGGTCGTCCCCAATGCTGGAGGTTCCCAGAGCCCTCAGCTCCTTCAATCCAGACTTCCTGCCCAGACGGGCAGCTGGGATGAGGTCATCGCTGGGGAGTCTTTTATCCTCTTGCTAAGCTACTTCTTTCAGTAGCAATTGCTGTCTTGCTTAATCTCAGAATTATCTGATTGTCACAGTCGAGTTTTCCACATTAGGCAGTGAGCCAACAAGTTACTTAACCTATAATTGCCCTTTAATGAAGCCCATCTTCAAAACTGAATTGTCAAAGGGAAACTTGTAAACACACGGCGAGGTCCAAGACCAAGCCAGCCCCAGACGTCCCAGCCAAGCCCTTGACTCCTCTCTGGCGTCAGCCACATTTGTCGGAGTTACTGGGGGCTTTATCACCAGCTGCCACGTGGAGTAGGGAGGAGTCTGGTGCCTGCAACTATTGCCAGGCACTGGCGAGACTTTGCAAAGCAAGCTTGAGGGGGCTTGGTTTGGGTACACACAGTCCGCTGTGCCGAGTACCAACCCTCTCCTCCATGAGCTACAAGATGCAAAAGTAACACCCACCTCACGCCTTGAACTTTGCAAAAGCTGCTAAGTAATGTCCATCTTTGGTCCACACTGTAAATAGTGGGTGAGGAAGGTTGACCTTGGAGGGCAGATCTCACCATAGCAGCCATCTGGGAGGGCTCTGTCCATGGTGAGTTGTCTGCTTCCAGGAGCGCTCAGCTGCATCTGGGAGTCCAAGGTGAGCAGTAAAATATCCTCAGCCGTTCTGTAGCACTCTCAGGTTCATCCAGAGCACCCCGAAACCAGGAAAGAAATATTTGCAGAGTACCTTGTTGGTGCCAGCTAGCTTGCTGGGCACCTCCCATACTTTATCTCAATTCATGATCAGAACGACTCAGAGCTCAGTCCTGCTATCCTTATTCTGCAGATGGAAAAATAGGAGGCCCAGGAGGTTAAGTAAAGTGCCCCATGCCAAGCAGCTTGTGGGTATGGAAAGCAGGGTTTGTGGGACGGCTGATGTCAGTACCTCTTAGACACTTTGGCAACTCCCCTATGGACATAATGCTGGTCTAAAGCCAATGGAAAGGTGCTGATAAGAAGGTTGAGAATTCCTGAATAAAATACACTGATGTCTAAGACTCACTTCAAAATAAGAGTGCTGCAGGGGGAAACCAATAAGAATATAAATGAAAAGACTCTTAGCAAACAGTTGTGAGAGCTAGGGGTGGGCACGGAGAAGCTCAACATAGCATTTTGTCTAATTTACATATATATGCTTGGAAGTGTTCATTGCAAAATACCTAGAAATACTGTAGATGACACCTTCTGCAGAAGCCAGCGTCCCTCCTGAGTATCTCCTAACGCCTATACGTACCTGTCACTGCCCCGACCTCACTATGCCATGTTTGAGTCACCTTTTAACTAGCTGATGTCCCTCCAAGACCTTGAGCTCCTTGTGGATAAGGGCAACGGCTGTGTTGTTCACCTGGGAAATGTTTATAGAGTGAGTAAACGGAAGAGTCGAGGGCACAGCAGGCACTTGATAAATGTTTTCGAATGAAAAATCCAAATAACTGGGTCTTAGAAGCTGGCTGCGTTTGGATAAGCAGAAAGGTTCCAGAGCCGGCGCGCAGGCAGGGAACCACGGGTTCAGAGCAAGGGTCAGAGCACAACTGGCCACAGCCCAAACCAGAGTCATCGGCGATAATGCGCTGCCCAGGCGGGCTGGCCTGGCCACTTTTTAATAACTCACATTTCAGAAGCACAGCACCGACTGCATTTATTTTTTATCACCACGGCAGGGTCAGTCTCCCACCATGGCTGCAAAAAGTGACGCTGCGACTTTGAAAGTCTCAGCTCATTAACTGAAGAAAGCTGACCGGACGCACCTGGTGCAAGGCTGCTCCAAGTGTGGGTGAAGCGCGTGCAAGGCCCTGGAGGAAACAAAAGCAATCAATTAAGGGTCCAGTGTGGAGTTCCAGTTGGGAACCTCAATCTTGCCGCAGTTCCTAACGTTTGCTAGTAAGAGAGAGCAAAAGGCTCCCTCTCTCCAAGATAGCCTGTCCTTCAAGACACAGTGCTGGTGGACACTGAGCACCTGGCAGCAAAGGCAAGAGTCAGGCGGCTTGGGATCAAAGGGCCCTGGAAGGGCCAGCTGCCCTGGCGTCCCCATAGCCTGGGAGATGTTGTGTTTCTTGCCAGCTTTCCAATACACACACACATGCTCTAGAGCTGAGCATGGTGGTGCATCCCTATAATCTCAGCACTCTGGAGGTTGAAGCAAGAGGATTGCTGTGAGCTGGAGGCCAGGGAGTTCAAGGGCAGTCTGAGCCACATAGCAAGACCCTGTCTCAAAGAAAACAAAACAAAAATCCTGGCTTAAACTGGGCCCCAAAATAGGCCTGCAGGATGCATTTGGGATGCCCTGGAAGGCCTGTCTTGCTCAGGACTTAGTCCACCCAAAGACAGGACTCTAGAGGAAGACGCACCTACCATAGCATGAATGTGTGACACCCTTTACAGTCTACAAGGAGCTGTTCTCATCTTGCCCTCCCAGCAACTGTGGGAGCATGGGAGAGAGGGAAGCAGGTCGAACTGAGGCTCACAGGAGTGGTGGGACTTGGGTCCAAGATGGCACAGCAGGAGGTTGGAGCCAGGAGGGTCCCATCAAGCGGGGTGAGGTCCAAGCTCTCCACTCTCCCAGTTTTCAGGGCCTGCCTTGGTGTTGTCGTCACACACCCTCAAATCAGGCTCAGAGACTCTCCACAGAGGCCTGTGGCCTCCTCGAAATATCTATGACTCCCACGTGTCTGGAAACATCAATGACTTCCTCCTTCCGGGTTTGCCTCTCCCTCCATTGCTCAAGTAATTCAGTGTCTCTGGAATATTAATCAGTCTGGGAGGGCTGCTGCAACAGATTTCTCTGAGGAGAAGGCAAAATGAACATAAATGTGTCGGGGATAATAATTCCTTTTGTCATAACACTATGAATTTCTCCAAGGGCCCTCTCTTTCGCTGTCTTACTAGAAACAAGCAGTGACCCTGTGAGCTGCCTAGGACAATTATGATTGTTTCCCTCTTAACGAGAAGGAATGAAGGTGCGGAGCAGTTCTGCCTCGTCTGAGGCTTTGCTCTCTGCCCTTTGCAGTTCCTGGAGTTTCAATCACACGAAGCCAACCTTTAGCTTGACTAATGAAAGCCTTGGAGAAGATGGTTGAGAGGACTTCTTACGCCTATTCTTAAGAAACTGATTTTATTACAAGGCAGTGCATAGTACACATGTTTACACATCTTATTCTTCTTTTGTTCTTTATTCGCTCTGTGTCTAAAAATGTATGCTAAGCCCTCCACCCATACACACACCAAGACAAAACGTTAAACTTCAGATATCCTGACTTAGTGTATGTGGGATGTGGGGTGGGCATGGGGTCGATCTAAGAGAGATTGAGGGAGGTCATTCCTTCTCCTTGGAGTCTTCAGGCACCGGGGAGGGTGATCCATATGGGGATTTGATGCTCTCCTGACTGGCAGTCACTGCTCGAGCTCATCACTTTGTATTATGGCAGGTATGCATCTGTCTGTTTTCCCCAGGAGACTTTTGAGAACAGGGAGGGCACAGCACCAGATTTGGGTCTGGCAGTGATAGAGGAGAGGTGGGAGTTCAGCGGGCTTGGGGATCTGTCATGATTCTACAGCAATAAACCAAGGAGGAGGAAAGAAGCCTTGAGCATAAACATGGACTTGAGAGCTCCAAAGGAGACGGGCTTGTGGGGGTTTGAGAATGTGGAGCCTGTGTCAGTCTCTACAATGAACTAGAAAGGGGCCAAGGATAAGCTGTCAGACTCCAGCTTGGACAACATGGTTAATGTCTTGATCAGGGCCCAGGAGCACAGGAAGGCGGAGATGGATGGAGACCATGTTTGTGTCATTGTGGATAGATTAAAAGTCCAAGTTTCCTATGCGTCTGGACACCAGATATAAAAGTGGTCAGGTATCAGACTCTTAGTTGGACTACAAACTATGGCTTTATGGAATCCCTCGTCCCCCCTCAGTGCCCAGGGGATGAGCCTTTGTGCCTATAACCTACTTACTACCTGGTTCCCTGGTGGCTCTGGATAACCAAAAACATTAGACTTTCTAATCTCTTGTGTTCCTTTTTGCCTTCCATGCCTGCCTTCAGCAAGAATCCTGCAGGTTACATCAATCTCATCCAACATCTTCTTAAGATCCTTGAAAAGTCACCTAGCAGCAGGTACAGTAGGAGGGTCAGGAAACACACTTTCAAGACTTGACTTAGCCAACAGCTTTTAGGTGATACTTGGGAGGCTCCTGTCCCTCTTCAGCAGTTCTTTTCCCAAACCTTAATGGTGAAGTAGCTAAGATCTTCTGTCAGAGGAGCTTATGTTGGACGAACTCACCCATCTAAAACAGTTTTAATGTAAGAAAAAGTTTATAAAAAAAAGACAAGTATTTGAAAGCATTGGAAAGCTGCCAAAACTGGGCAGAAAGTAGAGTGAATTTGACTCTTGAAAGAACATAAGCTCTTCATTGGGTAGAATTCATGTTTATATAGCTTTTCTCCTAAGTACACTGTATCCTATCTGTGTGACAGGCATGACTAGAACTCAAGTAGGAAACCACAGGCTTTCTGACTTCGATGTCAGGAGTTGGAGCTCAAGGATACCACAAGGATCTGAAACTTAAGGGGAAATATCCTGGACAAGAGAAAAGTTGGGGGGGTTAAAATCTGCATATAGGCTACTCTCATATCACGGACTCAGTCCTTACCTGTGCATGCATGAAGTTGACATAAAGCAGTGCCAGGAACCAGCAAATAGAAGCATGTAAAAGCTGAACATAGCATCCAGCTGTGGGCCAACTATAGCTGCAGAGATGGAATTTTGGATTCCCATCCAGTTCCTAAAATAAAACGAACTCAGAACCAAGGGCTTCATCTTTAGGATAAATCAAATATTACATGTTCTAACGAAGTGCAAAGTCAAGCCTCCATAAGCTCATAGTGATCAAACAGCAACTTAATAGTCAGCATAAAAATCGACATTTTTTAGATAAGGGGCACCAAGACATAGAGAGAAAGGATTAGTTCTGGTCTTCTATAGCACAGCAGGGTAACTATTGGTTTCAAAAATCTACTGTCTCTCAGAATAATTAGAAAAGAAGAGTTTAAAAGTTTCCAATACATAAAAATAATCAACATTTGAGAAGATGGAAGTGTTTATTATCTTGATTTGATCATTATGCATTGTATGCATATATTTAAGTATTTACTATATCTCATAAGGTTGTAAAAATATGGTGTCTCTATTACAAAAGAGAAACAACAAAGTTTTCTTTTCAGAAAATAACAGAATTGAATATCTATAATGTATCACTCAAAATGTCCAGTATAAATTTTTTTAAATTTCTTGTCATGAAAAGATAAAGGAAAATGTAATTTAAGAGTCAGGGTTAAAGCAGTAAGTAGAAAGCAATGTTTAGATGACTTTAAAACATCTATTATAACTACATTCAAGAACTGAAGGGAAAATGTGGTCATAAAGAATGAATAGAGAGAAAATTTCAGCAGAGAAATGAAAATGTAAATATTTAAACTGAAAAATATAACAAGTAAAAAAAATTCACTAGATAAACTTAATAGCAGATTAGAAACCATGGAAAAAAGATTCAGTAAACTCAAAGAAATATCAATAGGAAAAACACAGGAAAACTAGGGATGCAAAAAGCTATCCCCAAAATGATTAAAATTCTTCCAGCTTTGTGAAAAAATCAACTTTAAGATGTAAGAAGCTCAGTCAGTCCCATGTAGAATAAATATAAAGAAACTATACTTAGGCACATCACAATCAAACTGTAAAAACTAAAAACCAAGAGAAATCTTGAAACAGTTATAGAAAAAAATAACTCATTAAATACCGAGGAGCCGGAATAAAAGAGATGTCTTTAAAGTACAATGGAATAACAACTTAAAGCACTAAATATAAAATAACACCTTTAATATATTGTACTGAAGTGTAAAAAACTAGTCTACCAGTACTCTATATCCAGTAAACATAATCTTCCAAAGTAAGGAGAAGGTAAAGGCCATTTCAGAAAAATGAAAACTGAAACCATTTGCTGTCAGCACAAATTCTTCAAGAAAAGGTAAATGAAATTAAGATCTACAAAAAGAAATGAAGATCATTGCAAGTGGTAAATATGTGGACCGATGCAAAATGCTACTACAGACACACTTTATAAAGGCAGTACTGGGATTTAGATCTAAAATGTCCCCCAAAAGTTTCATGTGTTCAGAGGTGAGGATTTTGAAAGGCAATTGAATCATGGGGCATTATACTCATCAGTGGATTAATCATTGTTGAGTAACTGAATGTAACTGTTGGGAGGTGGGACCTGGTGGGAAGACACGGGTCACTGAAGGAAGGACTTGGAATGGTGTATTCTTGTTCGCAGCTCCTCCCTTCCTCCTCTGCTTCCTGGTTGCCATGGGTTGAGCAGCTGTTGTCACCCATGCCCATCCGCCATGCTGTTTCTGCCTTGGAGCCAGTGAATCGTGCATAGACTGAACTCTCTGAAACCATGAACCGAAATACATTCTCCTTAACCTGTGGATGTTGGGTATTTTGTCCCAGCAATGGGAAAATGACTAATACAGACAGACATGCTAAAAAGTGAATGAATGAAAAAAGATACAGACATTAGCAGGCAAACTTTGGCACCAAGACAAGAAGAATTATCATTTCACAGTAATAAAAAGGTAAATTCATCAGAAGATACAAATGGTAATATAATGTAATTGTAACATGTACTCATATAATAATAAAGATTTCAAATGCATGAAGAAAAACATACAGACTAAAGGCAGAAGCAGAAAAATGGATTTAGTTGGAAATATTAACACTCTTAGGGACTGTTAAGACACCCTGAAGCCCTGCCTCTCAAAATCAGTAAATGTAAAACTATTTAAACAATACTATCAACAACCTGAAGTCATTGATATTATAGCGTTATACCCAACAGCTAGACGATGCATATTCCTTTCCAGTACAAAGAAATCATCAGTGAGGTAGATCAATGCTGGACAAGAAGACACATCTCAACATATTAGAGAGGACTGAAATCATTTACAATATGTTCTTTCACTACAATGGAGTGAAATAAGAAATAAGGAATAGCATCTATCTAGTGTATTTACAAAAATCTCAATAATTTAGAAACTGCCATGCCACCATTAGCTAAAGGAGCAGTTGCAAAGGAGGCATTAAAACAATTGCAATAAAAACTAGAAAATATTTTAAACCTTGTGAAAATTAAAATGCACTGTATTAAGGTATATGGGATACAACCAAAACTGTACTTGAGCTCATATTGTTGTAAACACTTATGTTAGGGGGGAATAGGTATAAACTAAGCATCCATCTTAAAAAGCTACAGCAAGAAAAAAATTAAATCCAGAAGAAATGTAAGGAAGAAAATAATAAAGATTAGAAAGGACAATTATAAAAACAAAGAGAAAAAGTCAATAAAATTAACAAAAGAAAAACTGGTTTTTTTAAAAGATCAATAAAATAGATTCATCCTTAATAAAACCAGTTGCAAAAAAATGTTTCCAGTAATAAAAGAAAGATGTGATATCACTACAGATCTTACAGACAAAAAAGTGAAAATAAGAGAATGCTATGAACAAATAGTGCTACCAAATTTCACAACCTGTAAAATGGACAAATTATTTGAAAGACACAACTTACCAAAACTGACCCAAAAAGAGACAGAAAATTAAACTGCTCCTTATTTATTAAAGAGATTGACTTTATCATAATACTTTTCCAACAGAGAAAACTCCAGTTTCCTATGGTCTCACTCATTAATTTCATTAAAATTTTAGGGAAAGTGTCAATCTTATGCAAATTATTTCAAAAAATAAAAGCATGAGAGCATACTTACTAGCTCGCTTTAGGTGGCCTAAATAATTCTGATACAAAAATTGACAAAGACATAAGAAAAAAATCACAGAACAAAAACACTTATGAACACAAATACAAAACTCCTTAAGAAAATATTCATGAAATGAACCTAACATTTAAAAAAGGTAAAACACCATGGCCAATTGAGGTTTATCCCAGGAGTATAAAGTTGGTTTAACATATGAAAAAACAATTCATTATAATGGGAGAATAAAGAAGAAAAATATTTGATCATCTCCATAAATCCACAATAATATGGAAAGTTCCAGTCCAGTCATGATAAAATAATGTCAGCAAACTAGGAACAGAAGTTGCCATCCTCATTTTGATAAAAGCTATCCATTTAAAACTCACACTATGGCAAATGTAAGTAATGCAAAATATTAAATGTCCCCACACTCCAGAATGGAAATAGCATAGGGAATTTCACACCTCTATTCAGAATTATGTCAGAGACCCTAGACAGTGCAACAAGTAGAAAAACTAAAAACATTAAAATTTGAATAAAAGAAGTAAAGCTATCCTTATACACATCTTTTTTACATGTATAGAAAAGCCTAAGAACTCTACAAAGCAACTCCTAGAAATAATAACTGAATTCAGAAAGGTCATAGGATACAAGGTCAATATACAGAAATTTACTGTCTTTCTGTTTACTAGCAGCTCAAAATTAGAAAATAAAAATTTAATCAATTATTGTACGTTAATATCTTGAGACACAAATCTAGAAATAACTAATACCCTTAGACACAAAATAGGAATAATATTAACAAAATATGAGCTAAAAGACATTAAATAAACCTTATAAATGAAGACATTGCATATTCATGCATTGAGAGACTCAATATTGCTAAGGTGTCAACATCCCAAAACAAACCTAATCAGAATCTTAGTTTGGTTTTTTGTAGAAAACAACAAGAAAAATTTCATTAAGAATTTATGTGGAAAAGCAGATATAGAATACTCTAGCGATATTGGAAAAGATAAATTTAGAGAACTCAGCCTATCTGATTTAAAGACTTACTGTCAAGGTATATAATCAAGACGGGATGGCACTGGCCTAAGAGAAGACAATTAAGTGGGACATTGTGAAAAGACCAGAAATAAATCCACATATATACACTGAAGTGCTTTTCCAACTAAAATTCCAAACCAATTTAACAGGACAAAACAAGTCTTTCCAACACATAGCAAACAACTGTTTAAATGTATGGCAAAAATAAACTGAGATCACCTACTGCGCATGTTGTACAAACATTAATTTTAAACATTTAATAGACCTAAGCATCAGAGTTAAAATAATAAATTTTATTATTTATAAAATTTATTATTTTAATAATTTAATTAATTTTATAAGAAAATCTAGGAGAATGAAAATAGCCAATGAGCACATAAAGCTGAGCTCAATATCAAGTACCAGGGACATGCAAATTAAGACCACCACAAACTACTATTACACACACACTAGAATAGCTAAAATTAAAGACCAACAGCACATAATGTTGGCAGCAAGATACAGCAACTGGAAGTCTCAACACTGCCGGTGAGAGAACAAAATAATATAGCCATGGCAACTATAAATGTCTTATACATTTAAATATTTGCCTACTTCTGGTCCAGCAGTTGCATGACTAGGTATTTGTCCAAAAAACAATGAAAATAAATGTCTGCACAATTTGTATGTGAAAGATTGCTGTAGCTTTGTGCACAATAGCTCCAAACTGGAAATACTCAAAATGCCCATGAATAGAAGCATGGGGTAAACATATCGTGGTGTTTTCCTACCCTTTCCTACCATGGAGGCACCACAGGTGACTCTCACAGACAGTGCACTGAAGGAAAGGGACTGTCCAAAAACATACAACATGCTTCTATTGATAGAGAATTCTGGAACAGG